TAACATTTCGTATTATATCTAGCACTTTTTGCGGTTATTATATGTTTCAAAAAGAAATGTGAAGAGCGGCACGTGACACGGCTACTTGTCTGTATGAACGGTATCACACGAGTCATAAAAAAGCAATGTTAATATAAATAAATACTCTCATGCAAATAACGCAATTCCTTTCACAATTAATATTGAGAAGATAACCGCTTAATGTAATCGTGAGATAGAGTTCTCGAAATCATTATAAAATTCATATAAAATCTCTATGTATAATCCGATAATTACATATGCAACCATGAGAAATCATTGTATAATATCAAATAAAATCGTATATTTTATTAAATGACTTCATATGTAGTGAAAAAAATTATTTGTAATCAGATAAAATCATATAAGATCAAATAATATATATTATATTTTTCAGATTATTTTCCCTCTCACGGGTACACCTTGACGTGGTGGGAGGGCTCAGTACTCAGAGGATATTTACAAAAAAAGAACGATTTTTCTCGTGTCTAAAAATTTTTGGATATATCTGAATGTATATATCTAGATAAATTTTTAGATATTGAGTAAAATCGTTCTCTTCTTGTAAAAATCCTTTGATGAAGCTAACGTACCCTCGTCGCCGATTTACTTGAAAATAAACGAACCGCAGCCGGTTCGTCGCGTCGCGCGTTTCGGGAGTGCCGTTCAAGTTATCGGACAAGTTATAGTCCGCGCGCGATTATAGTTTATTTTTCGCGAGTGTTTTACGTGAGTGTCCTGTGTGAGATGTTAATCATTCTAAGAGGAGGAAGCCGAGGAGGTCTGGGAGAGACATCAGGCACTGGTAGAGCAACCTTGCGGTAAATATTATTTTTTACATGTGTAAAATTAACCTTTTTTTATTTGACAATGATTAAAAAATGATTATTTTTTAATCATTGTTAAATAAATGATTTAAATAATTTTATATTTTATAAAATAATTCTATAAAATAATTATACATTCTCTAAAGTAATTATATATTTTCTAAAATAATTATATCTATTTTTTAAAGAAGATCTTAGCAAAAATAAATTTGTATAAAATTTGTAAGTAATTTTTAAGTAACTCTCCTTTTATCTAATTTAGGTAAAAGGAGAGTTATTTAAAATTAAGATGAAATAATTATATTCTCTAAAATAATAATTATACCGTATATAGAATCATACAAAATAGTTGATCCTCAAAAAAAAATCTCATCGATGTGTAATTCTTTTCACACATCTCTGCTTCTCTCTTTTACATGAATTATTGTGCCTTTAAGCAGGCAGTTGTATAAATAAAATAAAAACCGATAAATTCTTCGGTGTTTTCTGTACACGTCTTGAGAAGTGCGTGAAAGTTCGACAATTTTCTGTATGCGATTCTCGACATCGAGAAAAACAAAGCTGTGTCGATAGAATTACGAGCTATCCCATAGACACTCCGTTGATAGTGATTCCATTTCTATTGGAAAACTGGTTCGGCCTCGTAATATTCGGATCTGCCGTACATTTTTTTTTAAATATCTGCTACGCCATATCTGTTACAAATTCATACCAATTTATATAACGCGATCAATCCCATTTATCTCTTATTTTATTCATTTATTTCCTATCCTATTTATTTAATAATTAGAAAATAAATTTCGCGCACATAAAAAAATGTTATGGTTGTCAGAACCGGAAGTAACGATAATTTTCGCCCATTAATACATCTGGTTATGACAATCGTAAGACAGACGTATTCTTTTTTACAGTCATAACCATTAAGATATGCCAATCTTATAATTATCAAAAAATGTATTGATGGGCGACTTTTGGTTATAACAATTATAACCGTTTTTTTCCGCGTATATGCATTATACACCTTAATAAATTTTTGATTCGCTATCTATAGTATAGTTTAAAATAATTTTAATTAACTCTTTGTGAACCGACAATTCTTGGAGTCACTCTTTTATTTCATAAATTGCTTGCTGAATTTTTATGAAGTTTGGTCTGTAAGCTAATTTGATAAAGCTTTATTCGAATTGAGGTAAAAATTTAAAAATTTGAAATAGTAGATTTAGTGTGACGAATGGAATTTCAAAAAAATAATTTGATTATCATAAAATTTGATTTAAGAAAGTTTTCAATTTCGCCAAAGTGCACTATTCAAAAATAGATACTGATTTCCAAACTGATTTTTAAACTGACTTTCAAACTCTGATTTTGAATATTGTGACACTGGGGCCTCCTTCATGGAGATTACTGTTTTTTTTTAAATTCGATATTTTTAGGGTATATCCAAACTCACAAATATTAAGAATCTTCTAAAACCAAGTTACACAAAATCAGATTATTTTTTTGAAATTTAAATTTTAGAATTCTGAGACCAGAATGGAATTCAGTGTCCTCCTTAGAAAGCAAAGTCTTCATTAAGTTATGTTATTAAAAAGCTTCGATCCTCGGATTAAAATTACTTGATTTCATAAAGTTGTTATTTAACGTGACAATTTTGAACACGAATGGGATAATTGCATTTTACACTGTCACTGTAAAAAAATTACAACAATTTTAGGATCCATTATTAAAGATGTATCTTTATATATTATACCATATACAATATATAAAGATACACTTTAAGTTACAACTTACAAATAATATGTTTTTGTTTATAATATATTTAAACAATTGGCGAAAATAAATTAAAGTTAAATTTATAGAAATCTTTACATCTTAATTCGCCAACAAATTTCATAAAATTTTTCTTGAATTAAGTTATTTTATTGATATGTATAAAAATATAAATATTCTGATATATTATCATTATGTTATATGATATTACAAAAACTTGTACATATATTTTCATAGAAATTGTGAAATATATTATTATTATTGTGTAATTTTCTGTCAAACATAAAAATACATTTATACACAATTAGAGATAAAAGTATATTAATTTTGATTAAAAAAGCACAATTTTATATATTTCCATATATTATTTTTATATCTATTTTTCATGTAATTTTACATATTTTTCTACAGTGTACGAATCGAATTGGTGCGTTTCTTTAAAAATTGTTTTCCACAGTTGTGATTTACTTATACGCGTTGCCACCTAGACGGAGTAAAGATCATTCTCGGGGATGTTTTCGTACATGGTAATATACATGCCGTCATTCAATGTTGCATAAAATATATAATTATATACAATTTTATATATAAATTTATATATAAAATATTTTTTCCCGGGGATGTAATATCAAAATATTTATATTAATAATCATCAATTTTTATTAATTGTCGGTAACATCATCGTTCTTCATATTCTCGAGTCTCCCGGACCCTATTGATAGTTACGAAAATTTTCCCAGGGTCAATGGTCTTTAATAGTATCTCGTCGACATTGGCACACTTCTTTTCTGAGGATTTAGTATAGAGACGAACCACATCTATTGTCGACGATACGATTTTATCGATAGTGTTGGGAAGTGTATGTAGTCATGTAGTTCTCGAATTGAAAATAGATGTACTGGCGATAGTGTATGGATGATTTCGATGATAATAGGAAAAATCGGCAAGACTTTTCTCAGGTTTCTTTCTGCTTCGGTGTAAAAATCCAAAACTAGCGCTTCGATACGTATACGACTTTCAACAACAATCAGCTGCAAGCTGCGCCCCCGCGAACGCATCTGATAAATTACCTATAAATACTTTGTGTCGGTGACATCATACTAGTGAAAGGTGAATTTGTAGTTTTATATGTATATATTTCTTGTATACAGTTTAATACGTATTTTACTTCCATCGTATAACTGCAAAAGCAAATATGTAAAAAAAAGGTAAATGTTTTTGAGGCTTCCATGGATATTTTCAACATAGAAGTTATGCGTTTCGTATGTTTTCTCGATACTCAGATTCAGAATGCATTATTTAGAATGCATTATTTAGAATGCGTTTCGTGAATATTGCAATTCATAAAATGGATATTTTAATAATGATGGATTTAAATACGTATTATAGAATTATTCGGAATGAATTCCGATTTGAATTATTCAATTATTCCCTAGATCCCTATTATATTTTCTTAAAAAACGGAATAATTCCGATTGAAATTCATTTTGATTGCTGATCCATATACTCTTGACACGGAAATAACCTGCGAAACGTATAGCTTTTGTGAAAAAAGAAGTAAATATGCAATATCACTTTTCAATTTCCTGTGATTTCATAAATTTGTAAAATCTATGATGAAAACATTGTACATATTTATTGTAAAAAAGAGGGATAGAGGATTTTTTTTACGAAATTGTATGAATAATTTTTTAAAAAGTTTTTATCAAGTTACATTTTTTATTAATGTTATTGATATACGTAATACATATTTTATAAAAAATGAAAAATAAACGGAAAATATATCGGATATATTATAAACAAAATCGGATTTCGGATATTATTGGATTGGAACAAAAGTTTATATCGCTACTTCATTTGTATCATATCTATATTAAAAAAATATATTTTTGAAATTTTAACAAATATGTCATTTGATACAGCACAGTTTCATCTTTAAGAATCTGTTTTTTTTTATTTGCGGTAAGATAATTTTTAACAAAATTATGAATATTCAAATAAATACTTCTTTTATTTAATCCACGATAAGTAATGAAAAATATTACAAATATTTAACAAATAAATAACTTTGTAGGAAAAACTATAAGTCCTTCACTTTGTCCAACTATAATTTTCTACATGTAAAAATTACCAAACTCACAAAAACTCAAAAGACATAGTCACCTTTCGAAAGTACAGATATTAAGATATTTAATAAAAAGCCTTTTTCTTTAATTAAAATTTCCTTTATTCTTAATAAAGTTACTTGAACTCTGAAGTTCGTAGCGCTACGAGCTTTCGTTTCAATATATTTTACACAATATGTAAATCAGCCTTAATATATAATAGCTGCAGTGAGTTTTTAAAACTTTTGCCCCAAGGTCTGAGTTATGAGTTTAATTTCCTTTAAATTTTGCAACTGGGATTTAACGGCACGGCACATCCGAAGCGGTCTGAAGTGATTAACGTAAGCGCGCGTCTCGATGATCTCGTTGCACTCGCGCCACTTTCAGAGCTTTCAGCCACTTGGAGAATCGCGCGCGCGCGCGCCGATTCGAACTTGCGTTCGGCCAGTTCGATTCCGGCGCGTTCCGCCAGTTTAATTATCGCGCAGCACTGGTGCCGGCTGGCGGCGTTTCACGAATTCACGCCGCCAGCTGTGCCGCCGTCCCGGTCCGTCTGTCCATCCGTCCGTCATCCGTGTCCGTTCATCCCGCGGTCGCGCCATTCCGGTCCGTTCCGCTGGCGACTGCCAGAAAGCAAGATGGCGCCCATCTGTTTGCGGATACCTCTGTCGTGGATATAAATACGCGCGAGGAAGAAAAAGGGGAGAAAGGATAAAAAGAGCAGTGCCGAGAAACGGTCGCGGACGATCGTGCGGTCGGTGCGACGGTCGTCGTGATTGCGCGCATCTCGTCCGCGGTTGACGTGAACGTCGCCACGCGCCGCGGTAACATCGTCGCGTGAAACGCGTCGGTGTCTTCTTGTGTTCTCCCGTGTCGTGTCGTGCTCCGTCCACTCGTCGTCACGATCCGCTGTCCATCCGCGTCGCGAAACCGGCAGCGAGACCATCCAGCGTATACCTACCTAACCGTGAACCGTCGTAGCTCCAGGAAGGAGCGCTCCCGCGAACGGTGCCCACCTGAGGAATGCCAGATCGGCCGCGATCGCCCCGGCAGGTCGGCGGATCGGCAACGCGGCGCGAGGAGTGAGCCGAAGAGAAGCCGTTGAAAAAGAAGAGAGGAAAGAGAAGACCGGGAAGGAGAGGGAAAGAAAAATAATAAACGACGGAGTGCGTGTGCTCTCGTGGGGATTCCCTCGCGAGACGGTGATCGCGGTCGCTACTCTCCCGTGACGTATGTGTGTCGCGGAGGTCGTTTGTCAGACGGGTCGGTCGCCGCGAGTGTTTCCGTCGTTCCCGTCGCCGTTGTTGTTGTCGTCGTCGTCGTCGTCGTCGCCGTCGTCGTCGTCGCCGTCGTCGTCGTCGTCGTCGCCGTCGTCGCTGTCGTCGTCGTCGTCGTCGACGTCGCGTCGCGAGTGTCATCGGCGAGTGCGATCTCGATGCGCTGTCGCCCTCCCCTGGAAGAACATCCCCTCTGGACACCCGGTGGTATCAGCTGCTACTGTTTCTGCTGCTACTGCTGCTGCTGCTGGGACTACTAGCCCGGCAGCTCCCTGCGAGGATACTCTTCCGTTGGAGCGGTGGGGCAAGGAGGCGCCGGAAGCAGCCGCGAGTCCGGAAGCATAGCGAAGAAGATGGCCTTCAACGAGGTGAGTGAGGTGTACCTGTACCTCTCTCGGTCTCGCGCGCATCTTGTCTGCTATACCTGCGTGCGTGGTCTTCTTGCATGCATCTCGCGTCTCGCGTCACGCGTCACGCGTTCCCGTTGCACCACGATCGGGTCGTTCGATCCCGCGGGGTTGACCCCGCGACCCCCAAACGCCATTCCTAACCTAACCTCCCTTTCTGCGCACAGCTGGTAGTACGCTATCACTCCCCCTTTACTCCTCCCGGCGTCTCCTCGCGTCCCTTCGCTCTCTTCGTCCCAAACCGACGTCACTCTCTCCCTCTCCCTCTGTCTCATTAATTGTTATTATCTTTGTTATTTTATTTATATTTTGTATCTTTGTATCTTTTATTTTGAATCTTAATTGATGTTAAATTGTACACATTTGCTCAACATTTGAATGAATATCACTCTAGAACGTTTAATAAGTAACGATACGTATCTATCTTTCGTGCTCATTAGGTTTGAGAGATAACTTGGCATTCAACAAGAATTGGTCTTACGTGAGCGTAATTTAGTGCATTGTATTATTTGGCATCAAAGTGTGGCTTTAAATGGATCCACATAATGGGACATTTAAATCTTGTTTGCATTCGTTATATGGAAACATACATATATCGAACTGGGAAGAATGAGATTGCTAATGTCTATTTGTAACAATAGTTCGTTAATTAAAAGTTCATACGCTAGTTCTAATTAGAATTGACATATGTGTTATTATTTGTAATTGTACACCACTTATATATCTTTCGTATATGTAATTTCATAATCGTAATCCCTCTAATTAGACGTTGCATACGAGGTAACTATGTTAGTTACTTTATATACAGATAAATTATTCGTCAAGAACGTCCGCTCTATCTATTTAGGATCTTATTTGGCGTTAAATTTAGGCATATATGTATATATGCCTAAATAGTAAGTCATGTAACCGTCATCGCGTGATATTTCAATATATCTACACTAAAAAATTACTAAATTTTAATGAATATCTGTTTAAATAAATAAATCTAAAGTCCATTCTACAATTGCGTAAAAAAAGTAGTAGTAGTTGTAAGTGATTGAAGTTGTAAGAATTGACTAATGATAGTCGAATATTTTCCTCATATTTGACTGTGATTGGTTAATTCTTATTCACTGGAACTACTTACAATTAATAAACTTAAATAAACATTTACTAAATCTAAACATGTGTTTATTTGATACTTGATACAAGAATCATTATATAATTTAACTATTATTTTTCATTGAGTAATTATTTAATTGCTGTGAGGTAATGTTTGCTTAGTGCTATTTAAAGAAATATTAAAGTTCAGTAAATTTTTGTCAATGTAATTAACCGTGAAAATAATCGTTTTATAAAATATATGTAAAATCGTAGCAAAACCAGCAAATTCCTTAGGTAATGCTTTGTTGATAATGTGCACTTAATTGTCTCGGGTCCTTGAGAAGTCGCGATAAATGCCATTGAAACACAACAAAGTTTTATCAGCTACAATAATTCTATCAGTTTGATGTAGCCAGAGTCTCGCGATTGGTTCACCGTTATATCGCCTTGCTATCGCAATATTGCGTAACTTGCGGAATTTGCGATCTACTTTGGACCGCGCGCTACACCGGTTTCACAAGCCACAACAATGACATTAATGAGCCTGTTCGTTGTCGTTGTCATCCCGTCAATTTTGATGAGAGATCCTCGCATTCTCGTCTCTCGGCAGATGCTCGCTCGACCATGCGATAGCGCGCTACACGTGTTTACATCTCTTCGCAATCGATTCAAAAAGAAGGAAAGAGAGACGTTTGATTAATCGAGCCCCCGAGTTTTCAATGTGCCAGGATTCATATCTCCATTCGATTTATTAATGCGATTGATCTGACGTCTTAATATAATCTTACAATTAGCCGACGTTATTTCCTATTTCGAACACACCTGAGTTTCCGCACAATGGAAGATAATATCAACCCTTTCCTGAGACTATGGGAAATTTCCCATCATTTCTTAGGATATACGAGTATGACGCTTGGTAGACTCGCATTTTATTATATCCACTGATGTCGTGGCCAACTAACTACTTTTAGTAGCGTCCAGAGATTATATTCTTGAATCCATGTTGCATACGAAAATTTATATAATATATACACTGAGAAAAATAGTTTGATTATATTATCTAGATGTGTATAGTTGAATGCATTTTGGTGAAACCTAGCAGAATTTTTAGTTATCATGATAGGATTTGATATTTTTTTAACTAAAGAATATTTCATAGACTTAACTATATGGATTTAGTTAATGTTTTTTAGTTGGAATTTATAAAACTTCTAGTTATTCACAGTAATCGAGATAACCAGATGTCTCCTTATGCTAACCGGAATTCTGATTGATATGGTCAGAATCTACTGGTTCGTTTATCTTGAATCAGAAGTTTTTTTTAGTGTAGTACAGTTTTTCAGTTCTGTTTTTAATTCCTGGATGTTACATATTCCAAAACGTATACAATATTAATCTAGCAGCACTTGAAATATCATCAGAAATCTCAAAATTTGTATAGATCTATGTGCACTTAGCTGATTGCAACGATTAGAGCTCAATAAAAAAAATCGATCGATAAGAAATGCTGTATATTCAACAGGAAAGAATTAATCATGCTTGTCTGATAATTCCTATAAGAATTTTGATTCGTTTATTTTTCAACAGTTATATCGGTTGAAATTACCGAATTTTCATTTAACGCAAGATCTTTTTCTCACAAGTTTTGTACGAATTCTGATGTTTCCACGATAAAATCTGGTGTTAAATCCATACTCATATTTTTCGGAATATAGTATTTTTGTATACGATATATACTCTTTTCGAGATTAAGGCCGCAGAGGATTTCACGTGGTTGTGTCAAGACGGATTCACAATGGAATTGTGCCTGAATAAACGATAACTTACCTCTCTTACGTCTCTTCGGCAAACGTTATCGTCGCTGGTGACGCATGCACATCGCAATCGTACACTTGGAATCGGTTTTATCGCGAGCGTTTATTTTTCGCTGAGTCGATTCGTATAAAAAAAAAAAAAGGAGAAATAAAACGCGCACCGATGCGTAATTAATACACCACGATCGGATTTCACCGATAGCCTGCTATAATGTTACGTACAGATTACGGTTCGAAAGCCGAGTGTGATAATCACACGGAACGTGACTTCTGTCCTCACGTTGCTCTTGATACTTTCCACGAAATATGCATATATGCGACACGATTCCGACTTATTTTCTCTTCTTTTCGTGAACGCACCAGCTTTGCGCAGTGCCAAAAGATTTCGTTGTTTTTCCAATGAACGGAAACGTTTTTCGTTTCGATCGCTCCTTTATGCTGAACAAATATCATTTTTATCAAGCGTTCGATCAGCTTGAATGAAAATTCCTTTTGGAATTCCTTCTCAGATGTAAAGCGATGTTCATTTGTGATTGCTTCGGGTTTTTGATCGATGATCATGAGGTGATTTCTACTATCTCGGATTCATCAGCGCATCCTTCAAGATTCTTG